CAGGAGGTGCTATTTATTCATTGTTGCTCTCAATGTCTGTGCTTCTGGTGTTATATTTAGGAAATAAGTCTCCTGTGCCAATGCATTCAAGGCTACTTCCCACTTACTCTTGTCTGAGATTCAGTGTGCTTGGTTTTATGTTGAGGTCTTTGGTCCATTTGGACTTGAGTTTTGTACATGGAGATAGATAGTGGATCTATTTGCATCCTTCTACATGTCGACATCTAGTTATACTAGCACCATTTGTTAAGGATGCTTTCTTTTTTCCTTTTTTATAATTTTAGCTTCTTTGCCAAAAATCAGGTGTTCTTAGGTGTGTGGATTGATATCAGGGTCTTCAGTTAGATTCCATTGGTTCACTTGTGTGTTTTTATGCCAATTACAAGCTGTCTTCACTACTGTAGTAGAGTTTGAAGTCAGGTGTGGTGATGCCTCCAGAAGCTCCTTTATTGTGTAGGATTGTTTTGCTTATTCTTGGTTTTTTGTTTTTCCATATGAAGTTGAGTATTGTCCTTTTGAGGTATGTGAAGAATTTTGCACTGAATTTGTAGATTGCTTTTGATAAGATTGCCATTTTTACTATGTTGATCCTACCTATCCAAGAACATGGGAGATCTTTCCATTTTCTGATGTCTTCTTTAGTTTCTTTCTTCAAAGACTTAAAATTCTTTTCATACAGTTCTTTCACTTGTGTGATGAGTTACCCCAAAATATTTTATGTTATTTGTGGCCATTGTAACAGGTGTTGTATTCTCTGATTTCTTTCTCAACCTGTTTATCCTCTCAAATAGGAGGGCTACTGTTTTTTTTTTTTTTTTTTTTTTTTAGTTAATCTTGCATCCTACTATGTTACTGAAGGTGTTTGTCAGCTCTAGTAGTTCCCTGGTAGAATTTTTTGGGTCACTTTTGTATACTATAATATAATAAGCAAATAGCAAAAGTTTGACTTCTTCCTTTCCAATTTGTATCCCCTTGGTCTCCTTTTGTTGTCTTACTGCTCTAGCTAGAACTTTGAGTTCTATATTGAATAGATATAAAGAGAGTGGACAGCCTTGTCTTGTTCCTGATTTCAGTGGGATCACTTTGAGTTTCTCTCCATTTAGTTTGATGTTGGCTGTTGGGTTACTGTATATTGCCTTTATTGTGTTTAGGTATGTTCCTTGTATCCCTGCTCTCTGCAAGACCTTTATCATGAAGGGACACTTAATTTTGTCAATTTTTTTCAGCATCTAATGAGATGATTATGTGGTGTTTTTTTCTTTCCATTTGTATATGGTGGATTACATTGACAGATTTTCCTATGTTGGACCATCCCTGCATCTCTGGAATGAAGCCTAATTGGTCATGGTGAATGATTTTTCTTTTATGTTCTTGGATTCGATTTGCCAGTATTTTATTGAGTATTTTTGCATCACTGTTCACTAGGGAGATTGGTCTGTAGTTCTCTATCTTAGTTGTGTGTTTGTGGATCCCAGCCACTCTTAGAAAGGAAAATATTTAATTGTGGTGGCATGCTTACAGTTCAGAGGTTCAGTCCATTATTATATGGTGGGACATGGCAGTATGCAGGCAGACATTGTACTGGAGAAGTAGCTGAGAGTCCTACATATTGCAGGCAGCAGGAAGTGGTCTATCTCACTGGATGCGCCTTGAGCATATATGATACCTGCCTGTACAATGACATACTTCCTCCAGGAAGACCACACCTCTTAATGGAGGACATTTTCTTTCAAACTACCACAATCATGTTTATGGATTTAGACTTTTTTTTGATCCCAGTGTTTTCAGAGAATGGACTGCAGTATACAGTATCTTATCTTTTTATATTCCAAACAGTTCAGTGTTGATATATTTTATCAAGCCTGAGCTATCCTTTCAGTTATTTAGTATTAGAGGAGAAAGATACCAAATTACAGTTTTGTGCCTGCTCATAATATAAATAGTAATTTAAAGATAATAGATAAGTATATTGTACTAATATTTCAATAAAAATTGTCTAATATGAAAACCTAAATTTCGTGGTTTTAGAAGACAGGATTTTCTCTGAAGAAATTTGCCTATATTTTAGTAGTTGAGCAATACAAGCTTCTATTTTCTCCTGTCTGTTTTTCTCTGCGTTGACCCATGTGTTAAGTTTCTATGTGCAAAATGGTGTTCTTTTAGAAAGGTGTGATGACTTTTTATGCAAAGGTTTACTTACTTATAATAAAGGCAGTGTTGCAGGACATGAAGTTCTTGCAGATGCTAAATTCTGAGTAGACTTTTCTGCGGCCCCATTTCCACATAGTAAGAAATAAAAATAGCACAGATGCTAGTGTTTGCTTTTAAGGTTAGTGACTTGTGTTTGTAGAGGGAGTGACAGTTTGGGGAGCATCAGTTTATTTTATGCTGACTTAAAGTCTTAGAGCTCTCAAAGGTAGATGAAAACTCATAAATATCTTTCTCTGTAAAGAAAAAGTTTGTTGGCCTTAAACATGAATTAAGACCAAAATAAGAACAAACGTACTGCTGTAGAAATGATTGTCATAATCAACTCAAGTAACCAGCTTTCATTTGGGGATAAGGTTTGCATCTTGGAAAGATTTCGGTCTGCTAGGTTGGAAATGACATGACACTTAGAATAAGGCATGCTACTCCTCATGGCCCTGTTAGATTAGTGGATCAGTGTCTGTGGTAAATGGCAGCCCTTAACATGTCTTACTTATGGCGGTTACAACAAATAACCAGCATGGAGGGGGATATTGCATCTGCACTCAGCAGGTACACTTCTTTCTCTTGCCTTCATTCCTTAAATACAGTGTAGCCATTATTTGCATGGTATTAACATTGTTTTAGTGATCTACATGATTTGGCCTATACCAGGAAGATGAGGGCAGGGGCAGCTTATTTGCAGATATTATCTTGCCCTTTTATGTAACAGATGTGTACATCTAAGCATTTCAATACAATTGGATCTGGATACAATTCCTGATAAGTACTATAGTCAGTGACTATAGTTACTTATTATTCAATATGAAAACGAAGGATTCTTCCTAGAATTGCATGTGTGTTCAATCATAGATGCCCATGTTTCCCTCTAAACGCTGAGTTCATACAGCTGTGTAGAGCTCCTGAAAATAATTGCTTCTCCTTGCCGTCTCCTGACTTTTTGCTTTCTCTTTTTGATTTCTAGTTTTCCCTCTTTTGAGACAGGATGTTGTTATGTAGCCCGAGGGAGCTGTGATTTGTGTGCTTCTCCTGTCTCCCCCTTCCAAATGTTTTGATCACAGCAATGTACCACCGTACCCAGATGATTCAGTTCACTTCATTTGCTACTGATGTTTGAGGCAGTTCTTTATTCAGCCCAGACTGGCTGGCCTGGAACTTCCAGTCCTGCTTCTCCTTTAACTTTCTCTTTGCTAATTCCCGGGGTCAGTTCTCAGATCACATTTTCTTTTGCCCATCAGAAACATTTGAAACCATTTTTCATTTCCTCATTTTCACTTCCAGTTTTCTTCCTATGTCATAGTGTGGTCTTCTAGAGCTCTTTACTAATCCCTCCTCCATTTCAGACCTTGCTGCAGACTCAGGCTCCCTCTCTGTATTTGCTCTCCTTAGGCAGTCTTGCTCAGTTTATTTTCACGAAGCACAGTCCCCACTGAGCACTGTCAGGGCCTTCTCTAGATTGAACTGCTTTTCCACTTAGAAATTTGATAGAAGCTTCAAGGTTAATATATTGAAAACCATCCTCATCGTGTCTATTTCCCACAACTGACAACTGCTCCTTCCTTTAGCCATTAAACAGCAGTTCAGCAGTTCTAGGTCAAAAATCTTAAAGCCATTTGCATGGTTTGGCTTCTCTTAAAAGCAGATTGGAGATCTGTAAGTTTAGGGAACAATCTTTGGCTCAGCATCCTTTGAAGCAAGACAGGGGTGGAGGAGCATGTTAGGTTGTAGTGCAGTCTCAAGAAAGGCCTGAACTCAGAGCTACCAGGCCTCACTACCGTGGTTCATTGAGGCTAGAAGAGTGCACTGGGAAGTGGGTATAGTGTAATCCAAGAACTGAGCTTGGAGAACAGCGGTGCTTATATCACCTCAACCAGTCATTTCTGGTACGGGCTGCTCCAGGAAGAGGGCATGACTTTGACTTTGGTCTTAGGTGGTCAGAACTATAGCTGCTCAGCGAGCGCAGCCCTGTATGTGAATCCTTCAATCCTAAAGAGGGATCTGGACAGTGCAAAACTTGTCTTCTGCATCATTTGCAATTCCATTGTTTGTCACATCCAATACTAGCCCACCAAGCTCTCAAAATACATGAAAAATCTCTGACCGTTTTCACCACATCCTCAGCTCCTGGCTTCACTTATGCCCCAGTGCCTTGGTAGCTTACAGTCATGTCTTTAACCACTCTTGTTCTTTTCTGCTCTTCAAACTCAAACTAGTCCTTCCAGAACAAAGCCCAGTGATGGTACTCTCATTCCTCATTCCCATTAGGATAAAAATCTCTAGCCAGGCCTTCCACAGTCAGTTCCCATTGCTTTTTAAGACTCCAGCTCCCTAGTTCATACTCTCTAACCACCATGACCGTTTATTTCACTCTGTTTCCCAGCCTCTCTTGGCCTCCCTGTCTGTACATTGCATGCTCTTCTTTCTGTCTCAGCCAGGATAGAAGGCAAACAGATACCTGCCACATCAATATAAGTGACTTGGTCAAGGCTATCCAGTGAGCAAAGCACTTGGGTGCTCAGGGAAAACACTGCCATTGTGCTGATCTCTGTCCTTCAGTTCTATCTCAGTAGAGAAAAAGTCATGCATTGTGAAGTTGAAAACATTGTTAGTGCTTCTTTACATTTATCTTGGTTAGAGTTTCATGAAAGGATCATTGTGTAGTGCATTCCCCTGCAATTTCAAGTTGATTTCTAATAAAATGTGCTGTTCTTACTGTAGCGGTGTGAGGGGATTGAGGTCATGCTACCTTGTGCATGGAACTAATTATTTCTTGCTCTTTCTTTCTCATGCAGAGCCTTTCATCCTACTATAAAGGAGGATTTGAACAAAAAATGAGTAGGCGAGAAGCTAGTCTTATTTTAGGTGTAAGGTAAGTGCTGCATAAGTATTTTTTGTTGTTTGGCCAAGATTGTCTTAAAAATTGGGGGAGGGGATGATTACAACAAGTTTGTGCTTATATTTAAAATTTAAAATAAAATCCAGAAGAGGACATAGCACATTTTGCCTTTTAAAAGTTGAAGTCTGAATTAATTGAAGTTATGTATGCTCTTTGATCTTAAACAAGGATTCCTAGGTTCCAAGTCCGTTCATTATAAGATCCTCCACTGTGATACTGATTTCTTTCTGGACCAGTTTTGAAATTTGATGAATATCTTTAATTATAATACATATTTTATTTCACAATTCTTTTTTACTTCTGCAGTTGATATAGACCATATATTATTTTACTTATTCCATTTTACTGTTCATTGACTGTTTAATATTAGACATATAAGAAAAGAGCTAATGAAATTGTGTGGTTATCATTAGCATTAATTCCAGGACTTTTCCTCTATCATAGATTTACTAGAATCTGTATTCATTTGTTTCTTTTATTGTTCCTTAGAGCATATTCTCAAGGGTTTGTCATCAATGTTGTTGTTATTGTTGTTTGATTGGTTTTGGTTTTTGTATTGCTGAGAATTAAACCTGAGGTCCTGAATATGCTTGGTAGGCATTCTACCACTAAACTATGCCCCTAGCTGTTAGATTTTTTACAAACAATGTAACCTAGGCTGGCCTTGAACTCATGATCTTCCACATTGCAAATTCCAGGGTTAGAGTTGTCCTCTGTACACAGAGTTGGTTAAAGTATATCATCTACTGCACACAGAGTGTTGGTTATAGTATAGCATCTACTGCACACAGAGAGTTGGTTGTAGTATATCATCTAATCTACTGCACACAGAGAGTTGGTTATAGTGTATCATCTACTGCACACAGAGAGTTGGTTATAGTATATCATCTACTGTACACAGAGAATTGGTTATAGTGTATCATCTACTGCACACAGAGAGTTGGTTATAGTATAGCATCTACTGCACACAGGGAGTTGGTTATAGTGTATCATCTACTGCACACAGAGAGTTGGTTATAGTGTATCATCTACTGCACACAGAGTGTTGGTTATAGTATAGCATCTACTGCACACAGAGAGTTGGTTATAGTATATCATCTGATCTACTGCACACAGACTTGGTTACAGTATTTCATCTACTGCACACGGATAGCTGGTTGAAGTATAACATCTACCCTATACAGAAAGTTGGTTATAGTATATCATCTAATCTACGGCACACAGAGAGTTGGTTATAGTATAGCATTTACTGCACACAGAGAGTTGGTTATAGTATAGCATCTACTGCACACAGAGAGTTGGTTATAGTATAGCATCTACTGCACACAGAGAGTTGGTTATAGTATATCATCTAATCTACTGCACACAGATAGCTGGTTGAAGTATAACATCTACCCTATACAGAAAGTTGGTTATAGTATATCATCTAATCTACGGCACACAGAGAGTTGGTTATAGTATATCATCTACTGCAGTTTCCTGGTGACTTAATCAGTGTGATTAAGCAGAAGTGCTGTAGTGACAAAAATGTTATAGATAAATAAAATCTTTAAGCTCAAACCTTTTTAATGACCTTTTTAAGAAAGATAAATAAAAAGTTGGTGGGCTATCTAAGTCGTTTAACCAGTAAAGGTGTCTACCACCAAGCCAAATAACGTTGGTATAGTGCAGTCCAAACAGGGCCTGGATTTCATGAACTTATGAACTTACTCCCAAAAGTTGTTCCCTAACCTCTACATGCATACTGTGGTACACACACACACACACACACACACACACACACACACACACACACACAGTGGGGGGAAGGATGCACAGATACTATTAAATAAATACAATAATAATTTTTTTTAGAGACTGGAGCTTATTTTAGCTCAGTGTTTTGTATAAATCTAAGAGAAGGGAGTTTTCCTCATCATAGAAAGTAGTGGACAACATTAGGCAAAGTGACCATGTCAGTTAGGTAACTATTTCCTTGTTTAGTATTTATTACTCAGGTAGCATTATTTTTCCTAAACTTATTGGCTCTGTTTACTGCAGGCTCAAGAATGCCACTCAGTCCCACATACCTCACTTGTCCCATCCACCCCACCTCCCCTCTCCTGCCAGTCAGACAAATTCCAGGGAAACTTTGAAATTTGTAGTCTGGGCAGCAAACAAAATGCAGCAAGGATTTAGAGTTTTAATGTAGTAAAACCAAAAAGGGAATAAACTCCATGTAAATGAGAGTCCCCCCCCCCCATCTTCAAAGCTCACCACTAAGATAAGGCAGTGGTTTGAAATTGCCACATTTGTGTACGTGAACTTTTCTTCCAGCTGTTTTCACTTTAATCTAGTTTGATGGGTGGCAGACCTCAATGTTCACAATACTTCAGGTTTTGTGTAGAACAAAGTCACTTTTTTAAACATAGTCAATGTGATTGATTTTCAAGGATATTGTAACTGAAGTGACTTTGAGACTTTGTTTCATGTGTTCAATTAAAACTTCATATCCAGAATATGAGCCAACACTCCATGTTTCTTCAAATACATGCAACAGAAATTTGTGTTTTTCTAAGTTGATATCTATTATTTAGGGACTTTGTGAAGCTCTTTTTATAGGTTTCTAATTTTTATAGTAGTCTTTTATAATGTCAGTGTTTACTAGTCTAGAGCCTTCGTTCTTCCAAGGGGTTTACTTTTTGTGGTTATTGTTCTGGGTTTGGGGTTTTTGGTTTTGTTGTTATTGTTTTTTGGGGCAATACTATAAAATCCATCAAACACTTGTTGCATGTTCAGTCCTAAAATGCAGGTTGTAGACTGTGCCTGTAAGTCATTTGTATGTAGGGCAAGTATCCAGAACGAGACTACATAAGTAGTGTAGAGGTGCTGGAGAGCACCTCCAACAGGAAGGATCAGAGTAACCAGCACAGGAAATGGAATTTCTGGTTTTCAGAGTGATGTGATTTAAAGTAAATGTCCTTAGCTCTAGTGAATATCTGCTTGTTGTTTTCCTTTCTTGGAGCTCAATAGTCTTTGAAATGAAACAGTATCTATTTGAGAGTTACCTAAAAGTTAAGTTTAAAAATATCCCCCATAAGAATTCTGCAAACAAACAAAAGAAGTATTCTTGGGTCCTTGCATAAAGGAACTTGTTTGTTTTATTTATGGAAGAATGGTTTATATGTTCATTTAGCCTGTAATAGTTCTTTTTTCACAGGGTAACTTGTCTTCTGAGACAGTCTTGTTACATGGCCTTTTGAGTTCAAGATCTTTTTGTCTCAGCCTTCTGAATGCTGGAAGTATAGGCGCGTGTCACTATTCCAGGCCCTTAATGGGATGTATTAACATGTGTGGTAATATGCTGTTTACCTGGAAGAGGTCAGTGGTAGAAATTGGAACACTAACAGAATCAAGGATAGACACCTGGTAGCAAGGGGCTGTGTTGTTCAAAGAGAAGGAGGATCTTAAGCAGCTTTCTGGGCCCTTCAGAAGGAGCAACCAACCTCTGTGGACTCTCAAAGTTGCATTTAGTTCGTTCTCAGGATAAGGCTTCTACTACATTGTATTTTTATAAGTATCCTTCCTTTACTCTTTAATCCTTGGAGATAGGCTTTACTGTATGCATGCTACATATGAGAAAATGATAACTCAAGAGAGTTGAAATGAGCAAGACACACATAGCTGAATAGCAGTAGAATGAGGGTTTTTGAACTTAGATGTGACTAATTAAAATTGTGTGCTTCCTTCTAACACGTTCATCCAGTTTGATTCCTTTGAGCTTCACAGCTACCCTCATACTGTAAGCTGGCTGTAAATTTACGCATTTGAAGCCTGGTAAAGTTAAGTCACTAAATATCATAGCAGTTAGGAACAGGAGCTTCTACTGTTGGTACTCAGAAAATGAACTAAACACTTGCAATTCTGAATAAGTCAGTTTGTCATAGTAATTTGATGTTTAACTGTCTTCTTTAATGTTCACTCACATTGTAGGCTCTACTGCCAAACTTTCCCATGAGTTTCTTACACAGCTAGACCCACTCTGAACTGTATGGAATTTTGAGATTGCTTGTTGAGGCACTAACAGAAGGCAGCTGTTCTGGAACACACATGTCATGCCGGGCTAGCACTTGGCAGCATCCTGACTCTGTGGGCATGTGGTCACCCTGCAGTGCGGAAAGTGAGCACAGAGATTCAGGCCTTGACCAACGGCACCCAGTACTCCATAGCAAGACTGATCGCAGAAACTAACAGGCTAGTTCTGAAACTCAGATACCTCGATGGCATATGTCACCTCCACGTTAGAAGCATTAGCTTTCAGACCTTGTAGTATGCATACGTGGCTCTCCTGGCCTGTGTATGTGGGGGTGCTGTGGGTTGTGGTGGTGGTATGTTATTTTTGGTGCTGGGCGCTAAACCTAGGGTCTCATGGTTGCTAGGTAAGGATTCTATGATAGAGCTCAATATCCAACCTGCTTGTTTATTTACTTTTAAAAACTGAGAATGAGGATAAATATTACAAAGTGCTGAAGGAAAATACAATACAGTATTGAGTCACCATGATTTATTTTAATAGTAGAATTAAGCATAAAGCTTGTAATTTTGTACTTGTCCACAAGATGGTGAAATTCTCATTAGTTTTTAATTTCTTGAAACCCATATAAGTCATTAATTTATAATCTGCATTTTACACTATTTGTTAATTTTTTTACAGCCCATCTGCTGGCAAGGCCAAGATCAGAACAGCACACAAGAGGATTATGATTTTGAACCATCCAGACAAAGGTAGGTAGTGACTCCATTTTCATGGTCAGATGTACTGTGAGTTTCTTTCATTTAGTTTACTCAAACTCATGTAAGTAATGCCTAGCTGACAGGGAGTTATGTGTCACATGTTGAGATTTTCCTCATAAACAAGTGGGCTTGTGGTTCAGAGTTGAGTGACTCAATGGAAATAGTGGATTTGAACTGTTAACTTTGAAGAACTTTGTTGCTGCCTTTAGGGATGACTATCTGAACTCACTTATGTTCCCATATTTTGATGAAGACAGAAAACCCGAGCTATGGGGCTGTGGAGTGGAATAAACTAATTTGTGCATCATCTATTATATCTACTAAATCTTGCAGATAAAAATATAAGATTTAGGGATTTCCTCTACATCTCTGTAATTTGTCATAGATGGTTATGAATTTTAAATTTTTGTTTCAGAAGGCTCTGCGGCTGAGCTATTTATTTCTCACTGGCCAGGTTTTTAATGTAAATTTATCTTACAGAAAGACAATTATTATAACTTTAACTACACTACAGCTGCTTGATAGAGAAAGCCCCATATGTTCATTACTGTTTCTCTTTTAAAATAACAGATGGTAGAAAGTTGCACTATACTTCAGAAGTCAAAGGGGGGTAGGAAAGTGAAGGCTTTCTCAGATCCTTATTTATAGACTTTTCAGTTTTGTAATTATTTTGGAAAAAATTAAAAACAAATTTTGGATTCCTATTCATTTTGACACCAAAATAAAGCATTCTTTTTCAGCTTTCTCAACTTAATTACTTACTATAAAAGTTCTTTTCACTGAACATTGTCGTCGTTGGTCTTGTACTTGCTGTTCTTTAATGTGAATAAACAAGAGAATAAACTTGGAAAAGAGGTTTTGCTTAAAATTTTAAAGCTTCAGCAGTTACTGAAAGATCCATTCAACTAATTTGCTCTTTATTGTGTGCTTTCAGAGCAATTGACTGAGCAAGAAGTGTGTTTAAGTGCCCCCTTGGAGTTCTTTTTCTCCCAAATGTCCTGTGCCCCCTCTGGATCAATGTGTGCTCGTGGCTTTAATTGATTGAGATAGTATTAAGCACTCCTTTCTGTCAGATGAGTGACAAGTTGTTGGTCATTTCTACCATAAGGGAAGCAAGCTCTAAATAATGAATCCAAGAGAGTATGTTGCTTTACATGAAAATTAAAATGTTTGTATATGTTAGGGACATAGTAGCACCCAAATGAATGACTTGCTTTCCCTCAGACCTTTGATGACAGTATGCTTACCAGTACCTTCTCTTCTGGTTTTGTATGAGCAACTGAGTAAGAAAGGATGAGCCATGCAGACAGGAAGCTAGTATTGTCTGCTAGCATCGGAGCCATAACGGTTCCTTACTTTCTACAGGCTTTAGTTTTCACATGCATAAAACAAAGGGATTTACTCTAAAGTCCTTTTGGTTTATGGAACATTTTATACCTATCTGTATTTCTCTTCAGACCACACGTTTAAGAAAGATCCCTCAGGTTTTTTCAGATTTGTACCCTTTAAAGGTGTATTGGTGCTGCGGGCTATTCCCCCCCACACCCATAGAATTGTTCATTTGTTCAGTTTGAAACATCTGGAGTTTCTTAAGCTCATGAACTTCCTAAATCCTGTCCATGTAGCAGCTGTTATGGTTGGCGTTAATTGTCAAAGGGGGACAGACCTATAGCCATGCCAGTGGGTGTGATCTTGATTATATTCACTGAGGTGGCAAGACCACTCGCTGTGGATAACACCATTTCCAGAGCAAAGACTTTTGGGTTGTATAAGATAAAGAATAGAACTGTGGTTGAGTGCTGTCATTGATGTCGTCTTCTGGCTGTGCGTCCTGTGTGACCAGTTACTTCTACATCCTTCTGCCTTGACCTCTCTGCCATGACAGACCTTGAGCTGTGAGGATAACCCTTTTTTCCCTTGAGTTTCTTTTGTCTGAGTATTTTATCACATTAATAAGAAAATGAAGTAAGTCACATTTGGGAAAAAACAGAAGTACAAGCTATAACGTCTTACACACTTCCTTCTCAGGCTATGAAAAGAAAATAACTCCTGAAAATGAATGTGGGAAATGGCTGAAAATAATGTTTGTGTAACTAGTTTGAAATGAGCGTTCAGGTGTGTTTCAATAAAAAGTAAATTTAGTGAGCTAGAAGATTAATACAGTAAAATGTATCTCGGGTCTTTGATCTGATGGTTTAAGGCTAATGTCTTAGTTTGTCAACTTTTTTAACTGCTGAAGCAAGGGGTTATTTGATATAAAGTCAGTAGTTTGGTGGAATGCCTAATGAACCTCCAATAGGGAAAACAGAGAGCTGAGGCAGATTTGAAAATTGTAGGCTGCCGGCTTTCCTTTCTCTTTTCTTTTGAAAGCAGTATTACCTATAGCCCAGCCTCCTGTGGCTCCAAACTTGTGTACTGGAGAGGAGGATGACCTTGTACTTTGACCCTCCTGCCCTACCTGGTTACTCAGATGCTGGGGATCCACACTAGGTCTTCTGTATGCTAGAAAACACTTCACCAGTTGAGGCACATCTCCAGCCTGACAGCAGGGATTTCTTACAGGCTGTCTAGATGGTGTTTCTTAATGTTTTCCTGTATGTTAGAAATTAAAAACGTGCATGTGTGATATTTATGTATGTTATGTCATATACATAACACACACACACACACCTCTAATCTGTTACTTACACTTCTCTTTTCATCAGATTACCTAAGGATTTGTCAGTCATTTGCTTTCTTAAATAACCAACTCTTGGTTGGTTTAGCACATTGTCCTTCCTGTCTTTGTTTCCATGATGTCTTTTCTACTATTACTCCTTGCCATCTAGTGGGCTTGGGGTTGGTTGTCTGTTGAGGTTCATAACTGGGTTGTTTATCTGAGATCTCAGGACGTTAAAATTCATTTTTTTAGGGTACTTATACATGTGAACTCACATCTCAGATTTTCTAATGTAAGCACTTACAGCTTTAGCCTTGCCTCAGCTGCCCTGGCTGTATTGCAGAGGTTCTGATAGGTTGTGTTCTCACTTGTCTCTAGGGATTTTTAAATGTCTCTAGCTTCTTGAATGATCAACTGTTCATTTTTTTTTAAGTATTGTTTGGCTTCTATAGTTCCCTGCCCACCCCATCCCCCCCCCCTCCCTTTTTTTTTACTTTCCAGACAGAGTTTCTCTGTGTAACAGTCTTAGCTGTCCTGGAACTCACTTCATAGACCAAGCTGTCCTTGAACTCACTGAGATCCACCTGCTTCTGCCTCCCCAGTGCTGGGATTAAAGGTGTGCACCACCACCAACCAACTCTATAGTCCAGTTGATCCATGGTATATTTGACTTTGAAGTGTCTTTGTTTTTGTTTTTGTTTCTTTTTATATTTGGGAGGCCTATTTAAATATGAGAGTGAGGTTTTCTAATACTGTGTGAGGATGTATGTGGTCTTTTATGTCTTTTAGTGTTTGTCTTATGAAATAGAGGCTCCAATATTTGGTCCATAAATGTTTACAATTATATCTGGATGAATGATTCCCTCTTTAAACATGTAATATCCCCTTTATTGCTTCTGATTAGTTTACTTTATCTGATATAAAGATAGCTATGCCTGCTTCATTTGATTTTCAGTTGGTGGAAGCTTGTTTATCCTTTGCTGTTGAGTTTTGGGTATTTCTGCCGGCAAAGTGTGTTTCTTAGAGACAGCATATGTTTGGTCCTTGTTTTTCAATCTGGTCCATTTGTCTATATCTTTTTAATGTGATTGAGGTCATTCACATTTAAAATTATTACAGAAAGGGGTTTGGTCTTTCCTGTCAGTTTGCTAGGTGATATTTTGTTTTGCTAGACTATTGGTATTTCTTTTTCCTTTCCCATTAGTTCCAAGGGTTTGCTGCATTGCTGTGTTGTACATGGCAGTTTCTTTCCCAGGTCTACTATGTTCTTCAGTTACTTTCATGGAGTGTAAGCCTTCATGTATTTTCTTGAAGGGGGCGCTCTTTCTTCTTCCTCCCTGTAAAGTATTCCACTAAGAATTTTTTTCAGTGCTGGTTCTGTTGTCATGAACTGACTTAATTTATATTTGTCTTAAGATATCCTTATTGTGCCCGGCAGTGGTGGCACATGCCTTTAATCCCAGCACTCGGGAGGCAGAGGCAGGCGGATCTCTGTGAGTTCGAGGCCGGGTTGGACCGATAGCCTCCAAAACAATACAGAGAAACCCTGTCTCGTAAAAACCAAAAAAAAAAAAAAAAAAAGATATCCTTATTGTTCCATCAATTTTTGAAAGATACTTTTTGGGGTTATAGTACTCTTGGTCTCCAGTTGTTTAATCTCCAAGTTTGACATTTTATTCCAGGCTTCTGGCTTTTATTGTTGTAGATGGATAATCTGTGGTGATTCTGATATTTCCACCTTTGCATGTGAGTCAATATCCTTCTCATGCTGCTTTTAGGATGTTTTTTTTTTTCTTTGCATCGTATTTTTGACATACTGACTCTGATGTGTCATGGAGTTTCTCATGTCTGTTGAGAGCTCTTTAGGCCTCTTGTGTTTGGATGTCTGCTTTTTTCCTTAAAGTATGAAGAGTTTTTTTCTGCTATAATTTCATTAAGTAGTCTGTCTATTACATTTGATTTTACCTCTGTTCTTCTATACCATAAATTCTCAAGGTCTGGATAGGGGTAAGGGTGAGAAGTGCTGACAGAAGCCAATAGTCTGTAACAGGTATTGGCCTGATGACAGAGCTGGCAGCCAGAGTCTACTTTGATATGTTAAATAGGCACCTATATTAGGAACCTCAAAATAGGCATTGTGCCCTGTGCAGTCAGGAGCCAGAGGCAGGTGGATCTCTGTGTTTGAGGCAATCCTGGTCTAAGAGCGAGTTCCAGGACAACCAGGGCTACACAGGGAAACTATGTCTGAAAAACCAAAAAGAAAACAAGTAATATGTTTGTGTGTGTGTGTGTGTGTGTGTGTGTGTGTGTGTGTGTGTGTGTGTGTGTGTGT